ATTTCTCCTTACAAACCAACAGCACTCTGAAATAGAATAATGTTGAGGCGTCGGCTCGTATTGGTCTAAAGGGAATCCCGTGGCCAATATACGCCCAGCCTATTTCAGGAGTAGGGCAACTCAAGTTATGGCACTACAGAATGTCTAATAATCCTAGGCGCAACTTGGCTGGACGCCCCCACTAATACAAAAAGAAAGCCCCCAGGCTATGATATTGTAATACCACAGCCATGTTAACACAGATTAAGAATAATAATCACACACAAATAACAGCTAGACAGTTTGAACAGTGAAACAGGAACACCCAAGTCATTAATGAAAACTTCTATAGGCATGTAATAAATGCAACACATATATCAACAGTCAAAGATGGTCCCCAGTGAATTGAGTTCGGGAACTACAGTTCATGACGTTCTGCTGAATCAGCCAGAAACATTCTCTGAAAGTATCAGTGATCATCATCACGGCCATGGGTAGACCTGTAAAAAGAGCATTAGATATATGGTCCCAGAGGTACTTATCTACGGTTGGTGGATGTTACTGCTCTCCCCAGTCCATTTTGATTTGAACAGACTGATTCGATTGGACTGCTCCTTTTGCCGGTTGCCTTGGTGAAGACATGCACACACAGGGTTCACTCACTGGAACAAAGTTCTTATGCTGGAACAGAGTTCATTTACTGGAACAGAGTTCTTACACTGCAACGTCGCTTTTAGCCACATAAGCTCCTGAAGAAGGATCTCACTAAGTAATGACAGATGGGTGGCCTGCCACACTGCCTCTTAGCCACTGGAACTCACACAAGCTCCTGCCATGTTGAAGTTGTGGTGGTATTAGGTACTATTGGTGGATGGTGGTTGGTTGGACTGCTGATCGTCTGCCTGACTTCCAGGGAGGTATCATCCCAAGCTTAGGAATCCTTCAAAGATTAAACTGGTATTTTGAATGCGCCAAGATTTAATCAGAGAGGTGGAAAACTTCTTTACACCTAGGAAGTCTGGCAAAGAATGAGGCAGGTGAGTCGGCTTCGCCTCTCTAGAAAGAAGTGCCGGATTAGTACGCCAAGGAGTAAAAAGGCTTCTAGGAATTCTGAATATTAATCCAGAAAATATCTATCCCACAGTTGTAAGTTTGAAAATGTAGACTTTTCAAGACAACTAGAGTGTATAGAAATACCCATTTCGCCAGATAAAGGTATAAAAAGATATGAGGGACTACATACCCATCGGACGGGTCTATATTTGAAATGTGACCTGCCCGCTAGGGGCGCCAACGTCACGAATAGTCGAATGTGCAAGGGTGGGTTGATTCACTTCACGACAGTAGACGCGCACAATAAGTTGGCTATACAATGTGAAATTATCACATAAGGGTTTTCTCCAGGCCACACGTAAACAGACTACGAACCATATTGAATACCACAACTCAACCGCTACACAAATGAAAGACATTCCAAGTTTTAAAAAACAGCTCACAGTGCTGCACCAAGCACTTAGCTCAGTAGCTCAGGCAGCAAAACCGTAGGCTTGTGGCTTGTGTGGAAACTTCATTAGCAAAGCGCTGTCGGAAGCAAAAAATAACGTCGAAGCTAAATATTCAGCCGTGCCTAGTCCTCCATATTCTACGGAAATATCTTTGTTACAAATGTTATTGACGTCTCATTTTTTTTAAAATAAAATGGCTAGCAGCATATACGTGTTACACACTAAAGCCTTGAAAAGCTGCTAAAGAAAATTAAAAGGTTAGAGAAATCGCAAAAAATGTGACTATAGTTTAGTAGTCGTACTGTAGGTGACGACATCTAAACTATTGCAGAGTCACCCATTAAAAACGTAGAATTCCCATAACAGGTTATTGCAAGCAATTTGCCCCATGCCTTCCTCTTTTTTGCGTTTACCGACTGTAAACTATGGAGGAAAGTGCTGGCTTGTTCTAGATCTTGAGTTTTGCGTGCACATCCGCTATGCACATCTGGCCTATTTAAATCTAGTGTTGCTGGTTCCTCGCTTCTCTGACAGAAATGACTCCGACCTGGAAGGAAACATTACTAATTAATCGCCTTTCACGAAGTGATTGTTATGACAGTGGGTGTTTTCTTTTTACCACAGAATGGGACCCGGGGAAACCACTTTTTGCCCTATGAAAAATCCTAACATTAAATTACAATGAGACATTGGATAAATAACAATGAATAATTTGTATACAGCTAGATTTAATGCCCGCCTTTTCCAGCAACAGTTTCAGGGGATCTTATGTTGCCTTCTTCTACTTCTCCTTTGTCTGCCCGTCGCCTAACGTTTATTCAATGCTCCTAACTGCACTTGGGTTTCCTTCAAGCCCTCCCGCCCTCGTTTCACAGCCTTATTTTTCAACTAAAGTAAAAAAGTAGAGGTCCATTTTTCACGTCTTTATGCGTATTATGGGGTACAGGGCTAGACCTATATTGGTTATATAAATTCGGCACTTGGTGGGTGATGTGGTCAGCATCACACGGCCACCTTTACTTCCCAAGACTGCACCTGGTACCCACTGAAGGCCGGGTCGATCAGAGAGTCAAGCTCATATTTTTAGGGAAAAAAAGCCCGGCCCTATCAGGATGCGAACCAACGACCTTTCGATCCGCAGCAGGTGTCTATCCGTCAAATCCAAAAAATAAATGCTCAATTTATAAATTTATATAAACACACACACTCATATATGCATTTGGTACTTTAGTTAATTTTAATAGTTAGTGATTCTGGTGTTAGTTTTCAGTAAAAAAAAAAAAAAAATTTAAAGTAGGATAGTTGACCTAGAAATGACATGTGTTGTAAATTGTATGGTTTTGTAGTTCTTATGACAGATAGATAGGCACGGATTTCTTTTATCACGCACTTATGACGAGAATTTTTATTTTTTATTTTTATTTTTTCAGTTATATCAAAATAAGGACTCAGATCAGTTAGGTGTTGTAAAAATGGACCCCCCCCCCCCCCCCCCCCCACTCAAGCGAGCTTTCTGGCAGATGAAGCAAGACAAACCTATCCACTGGGTTCATTAGGAAGACATGAAACACAATCAGACACAATGCCAAGAGCCATCGCTGGAGAGTTTTCAGCTCAAAATGTAGACCTTTAGGTACTTCGTCTTTGAAAACGTAATGCCATGCCATGTTGTAATATTGCATCTGGTAGGTAGGTGGGTAGTTGTACCCACCAGGACATCACACAAGTGATCATCATCATCATCAGGTGCCTTGCCGACTGGCGTGGGCGATCATGCCTCTCCATAATCTGCCATCTCCTGCAGCATGTATCAGTTCGTGTGCCGACACACCTCCATGCCAATGCAACAAGACTGTCAAGCATCTTCTCTCGTTGTCTTCTTCTATCTCTTCTTCCACATATCTTTCCAGTGGTCATAACATGTTCTATTTTCCCTCTTCTCATAACATGGCAGAAAAATGATGACTGTCTCCCTCTGATGTCTGTGATAAGTTGTCTTCGGGCTCCCGCCTCTTTCAAAACCTCTTGGTTGCTCTTTTTGGTTGTCCAAGGTATTCTAAGCATTCTTCTGTAAAACCACATCTCCGAGGCCTCCAGAAATTGTTTGGCCTGCCTACCAATTGTCCAGGATTCACAGCCATATGTTAAAACTGGATGTATGTAGCAAGCAAGAATTCTTTTTCGAACTCTCAATGACAAGGATATATTGCACAAGATGTTTTTCATTTTATAAAATGCAGTTTTTGCCTGTCCTATTCTATTTCCTATCTCAGTTATGCATCTTCCATCTGATGTTATCCATGTGCCCAGATACTTAAATTTCTGTACTTGTCCCAAAATAACACCATCAACTTTTATTACACACTTAGGAATAATTCGTTTCTTTGATACCACCATTACTTCTGTCTTCCCAGAAGTGATAAACACCCGAAAACACAAAGTGCCACCATATGGATGAGTATCACCCGTGGAGAGGTCCTAGAAACCCCTTTCAGCCATTATGACCACATTTGTGGCTCAGCTATTTTCATGGCCCCCAGCAAAAGCCAGGGTGAGGCTTCAAATAACCAAAAATTGCATCCCACAAGGGGACCACTTCGACACACCTAATTATATTTGTTTTGATTGCAATCAATTTTACTTTTACCACAGACTTTGAAGACCTCGTATGTTGACTCGATGAATATTCCGTTATAAAAAGTATTGTTTTTTGCATCGTCAAAGGCTATTTTAAATATCATTTTGGTGCTAAATTAGTGAATTTTGAAAATCGAGCTTCTAATCTTTCTGCTCCTCCTTCTCCCTCTTTCTATTCTTCCTCTCCTCCCCATCTGTAGACTTCTTCTTCTTCTTCTTCTGACAGATGCTAGCAGTAGCTTATCTGCTATTTTGTTTATTTATTGCTTTGTTAACATTTCTTTGAAGATTGGATTTAATCCTTACGTTTTCAGAAATATAAGAAATACAATGGATTACAGTTACTTTCGACTGAAAGTGTGTCTTCTTCTTTGTCTTTTTCTTCTTCTACTACTTCTTTTCCTCCTCCTCCTCCTTCTTCTTCTTCTTTCTTCTTCTTCTTCTTTTTCTTCTTCTTCTTCGTCGTCCTCCTCATGTTCTTTGAATTCTTAACATCCGTTTTCGAGGCCTCAAGAAATTCGATGCCATTAAATAAATAGTGCTGTCCCTCCTCTCAGGGTTCACCGTTTGTAAACTAAAGCGAAAAATTCTGGTTATTTGTTCAGTTCTGTATTTTTTTGTCTCGTTCTAGAACTTGTTTTTCTCACACATCTATTTTACAGATCAAATATATTTTAATGCAGACTGTTGGTTTCTTGCTTCCCCGACAGATGCACTCAGACTTCCAAGTGAAAATTGTGCTGTGGAGTTGGTTCTTATTTCACAACTCAACTCCCGTTAAAAAAAAAAAAACATGTTTAGCAGAACTTGTGAAACGTACCTGGCAATAGCCGTCTTTGCTGGCAACACGGCTTGTGTGTCCTTCTCTCGGTCGCCATCATGCAGTCTCTCAGGAAAGCATGTTTAGGGCTTGCAAAGGCTTCAAGGGTCGCCCTTTCATCTCCCGTTGCGCACAGAAATACAGTAAATTATTTGCCAACGTTGTTTTCCAGCCGTAAGTATATCTAAATATCAAATGATTTGCGTTAAAAGCATATTTCGCTTTGCATTTTGTTTTGACTTGCAAGTTTGATTTTGAAGGTGGTTGCCGTTGCTGTTGACTGTTGCTGAATTATTGAATAAAGCAGATTCGATATAAATATTTGTCGTGTACTTTTAATTATAAGACAGTACATACCATTATTGCAACAGAAAAGGAGTGGTGGGTAAGAATTTGGTCCTACAGAACAAGAACAGTCGTTCAGGACAAGTGGAGGTCACACGCTTTTTTTTAGTTACCCTCCTTTGACCTCAGTTTCACTTTGTGTTTTACTGTTAGTGTTAAGTATACGTTTGTCAGTACAACGTGACCCTGTAGTCCATTCTTTCAAAATCAGCAGTTTCTGCATTTGCTATTGCTTGGAGCTGCATGTTTTAAGTACATATCAATAAGATATTCTGCAGGTAATCAATCCTTACCTGACTGGCTGACATTGACTTGAACTGTTCAATGTTCATCTCATCACAGAAAGAAGTGCTCAACCTTCCTCATTATATATCATAATCAACCAATGTGTGTGTATGTAGCAACTATCATCACAGCATTTCTGTTTTGGTTTAACTTGTTTTTTTGTTGTTGTAATTTTGTTTGCTCCTTCCTTGTGTTTGTGTCTTGGTTATCCCTTTTGATTTGCTGTTCTTGCATTAAGGTCTCAGGTCTGGGTTGTGCTGATCCTGTGACAATCAACACTTGATTGATTCATCTTGTAAAGATTACCACAGTAATCACAACAACTTGTCATGGCCATTTTAGTTTACCATCCACTGTCCACAGTATTCTCTGCCTGCAAGTCTAGCTGCTGACTTGTTTTTTCCTACATGCCGTAGCACAAAATTGAAAATGACCTCCTCAGCAGTCTAACTACTGTCTTCAAGACCAGTCTGTTTTGATTTAGGTCAGTGGTCTCAAACCTTTTTCAGGTGCGCTCCTCCCTCTTTTCCTTGTGATTGAAAGGAGGATAATAGGTTTCACAACAGGTGAAACAGAAACTATAAAGATATTTGTGGTCAGAATGTGTTATTACTCTGTAATTAAATGCGCACATTATTGTATTACATTTTTTTTTTTTATTTGAAGATGTGCAAACTGACTCATGAGAGCAAACATGTTCTTGTCAGTCTGTTTAAAAAATATATACGTTATTTATATATTAAACTTAACCACTTCTGTACTGCCCCCCTCCCTGAAACCTCCTTTCGCCTCCCAGGTTGGAGACCACTGATCTAGGTGATATATTCAGGATGAGTAACACAAATGTCACCAGTTTTGCAGAACAAACATACAGTAGTTGACACCAAAAAAGTTCTGTTCAGTGCATTATTTTTAACAGCATTGTGTTATCAGTACCAAACATGGACATTAACAACAAAAGACCAAAGAAAAATCAAAACAAGTGACAGTGTCTATGTTTAGTCCTAAATGTAACTAGAAAAGACAGGATAGGGAAGGACAATATCAGGAAAGAAGTTAAAACAAAACCAGTATTAAACTACATCAAGAGGCAACAAATCAGCTGGTTTGGACATGTGTCATGACTACCGTCGGCCAGTAGCACTACAGGGAGCTCTGTCACTTGGAAATAATAGCAGCAGAGCCAGAGTTTGACCACACAATGGATAGATGAAATAGCTGTGGATGCAAGCGCCTTGTTAGCACATACCAAGGCTCTCACCTGATGCTAAAAGGCAGTACGCGACTAGAGAAAAATATTAAGAGAAGACCAAAATAAATGGGTGTAAGAAAAAGTGAAAAGTCGTGGGGGGGGGGAGAAATTCAATTAGACAACTTTAATTGCTGCAGAGTGCCTCTTGTTTATATATATATTTATGTTTTTGTATTGAAATGCCATTACCATTAATAGTGTACATATTTTAAAACTAAGTTTTAATTTATTGTCTCATTTATTTAAAATGTGTTTTTAAGTTTGCACATTTCAGGGACATTTTTTTTATACATCTGTAAATTTAAAAAAATATATATACATGTGTTAGCAGTACAATGAACAGCAAGAAGAATTAATGGCACAGCGCTTGCACATAAGCTTGAGTAAACCTACTTAGATCATATATCTTTCCTGTAGCAACTTATGGGCTCTTATTCAATCATTGAAGAAAACGACAAACACTAATTTCCTACTTGATCTGAACATCAAGAACAACTGGCTCATAAACAGCATCCTATCCTAAATACTGAGGTATTTTTGCTATTTAAATCATGGTGGGCTGGGGCAAATTGTGATAGAGGGGTACAGTTCAGGAATATGAGACAGATGTGTTTTTAATTTGTGGCACCCTATTATGGGGATTATTCAAAGGAAGTCAGAAAAGTATTGTTCAGAGCATTGCGTTTCTAAATCTGATGTGATTCAGAACAGACATTTTGTGAAAAATGCTCATTTACTCTTACCAGCATACCGAAGCCATACAGCTTCCACGTTTACTAAAGAAAATATTTAGCTTTCGCACTTGAAATTTTATATTTAAAATAAAATTTAAAATGCTGTCTTTGTCTGACACAGCCTCCTTCAAAGCTTAATTATAAATGATGAGAAAATATGTTTAAATGAAGCAGTTGTTATGTATGCCGTTGCAGAATTATTTGGGATTATCATTATCAAACATTGATGACGTGTTGCATTTAGAATGCTTTTGATTTTAAAATATTAATCTCATAAATAAAATAATAATCTTGCAGATCGTAAATATGCCAAGGAAGCAGCAAAGCCCAAGAGTGGTGTCACCCCAGGCCGTGTTGTTGCTGTCATTGGTGCTGTCGTCGATGTGCAGTTTGATGATGAATTGCCATCCATTCTTAATGCCTTGGAAGTCCAGAATAGATCACCAAGGCTGATTCTGGAAGTGGCTTCTCACTTAGGTTCGTATATCAAGCTAGAATTCTATTGCCTACATTCAAAGAAAAAAAACTTTCTCCCCCTCCCTATTTGCTCCCACCTGCTGCTTTTGTAAATCACAGAGACATCATTAATTTTTTATTCGAATATCGTCTCTCCTGAAATTAACCTTGTTTATAAATTATATTTTCATTTATTGACTTTGGAGATCTATTTGAAATTTATTGTTCTGTTTTATTTGCACTGTTCCCGTTTAAATATTTTGGTGTCTGAAACCATCACACAGTTGATTTTGAATGCTGATTGGCACTGATTGTTTGTTATTTACAAGCTACGAGTAATCTCATAAGTGTATACTGTCATTGGGGTGTTATGTTGTTGCACATTCTGGGCATGATATTGTGAGGTCACAAGTTTGACAGATGTCGGCTTATTGTGTTTGTGATTTTGGCCGTAAAGGAGACACTAACCTGTCAGTGTAAGAAGTGGATATGAGGGTTGTATCACTAAGAAAATTCGCTATCTGCAAAATCCAGCGTCATGAACATGTCCTTGAAGAGCTTGGTGTGGGTTTAGAGCTTGTGCTTCATCAGGAGATAACAAGTAAGCTAAAGCTATTTACATGGTACAAAGTATGTGCTTGTGTGTAACCATTGTTAACATTGAGGGTTTCTTTGCAAAGAAGTTGATTTTTTTCCATATTTCTTCTGCACACCCCCCCCTCTTCCCCCCCCTCCCCCCCCTCCCCACCTTTTTTTTGGTTCTCTTTTTTTTTCAAATCAACATGCCCAAGTCTTTTGCCATCACCTGCAGCTCACCCGTGTCTCCCCATCTTTTTTTTTACTGCATTCTATAATCTTCTGCATGTGTTGGTTTGATCTGCATTTATTCCAGTGGGTTCTGTTTGCAAATGACATTCTAATTATATTGTGGTCAGGTTTTCACAGAATGTGCTATCCAGTGGCACCTTCTTCTTCTCACCTCTATTCACATACATTTGTTCAGTTGTCTGTTACAGATCCACATTTAATTCCCTCTGTTCTACTTAGTCACTAATTTATGTATGTTTTCACTGGAATTTGTTCAATTCTTTCACAGATCCACAATAGTGATACTGTCACAGCATTTAATTCCATCTGTTCTACTCAGGCACCAGATTTACAATGAAACCTTATAAACTTATGAAGCCACTTAAGAAGAACACTAGGTAACATGAACAAAATGTGGGTCACAGCAGGGATGTATTATTGTGACTAGTTCTCGGTTAGCCCATATTGTTTTTAACACTTTAGTTATCTTGGAATTCATGTTAGCAGGTTTCGCTGTAGTTTATTAGTAATTACTGTAGTAAAACAAATCATTAGCCACTGGCGGTATTTTTTTCCCTTCAGGTGATAATGTTGTGCGTACGATTGCCATGGATGGTACTGAAGGTCTGGTGCGTGGTGAAGTTTGTGTAGATGTTGGCTCCCCAATCAGGATTCCAGTAGGACCCAAAACCTTGGGCAGAATTATCAATGTCATTGGAGAACCAATTGATGAAAGAGGCCCCATCAATACTGAACAGTATGTTTATTATTTTATGTTGTAGAGAATGTGGCTTCTACATAAATGGCTTTTCTTAATTAAAGGGTAGTAGATTTTTTTCTTTTCCCCCTAAATGGGATCCTGAAACCCACACGGGGATGCAAGCTCTCTCTCTCTCTCTCGCTCTCTCTCTCTCTCTCTCTCTCTCTCTCTCTCTCTCTCTCTCTCTCTCTCTCTCTCTCTCTCTCTTGTCATTTACATTCTTTGGCCTCATCTCCATAATGTTTCTCTTGATCTTTCGTTTTATTTCTATTTCCATTATGGTCTTCAAACTTAGTGCATTTAAATATTTTACTTTCACTATATCATTCTTGGGCATGCAAGTAGTCTGTATTTTGGTATAGTATGGAATCTTTTGCCTCTGTTGATCTACATTTTGCGTTGAATTTGCAAAATCATAATATTGAAAACATGTGTGCAAGTGTAATCCAAAATTAACACTGTAAATAGAGTTTATTTTACTTTTCTTTTGCATTTCTTCATTCCTAAGTAACCTATTGTTTGGATACCTTTGTAGACAGCTACATTTTTAGGTTAATAAAACATTACGTTTCCATACAATCTTGGTTTTTAGAATATGCCTATTTTTACAAAAAGACATGTTAGGCAGCAAAGTTTGTGGGCTGTATTTCAAAAAGACTTAAGTGGGCATACGTGACTACTATCTGTAAATGGTTGTATGCTATGCAAGGATCATATGTGCCTGTCTAATGGAATGGTGGGTCCAGTTTGGCACTCTCAGAGCAGAGTATTTGGCCTCTAAAACTGTGTCCATCTTTATTGCTGTCTTGTAAGGGACATGTGGGCATGCCTTAAATGACTGATTTCATTGTAAGATAGTAAGTAAATCTTGGCCTTCTATAACATTTTATGGGGCCTAATTTCACAAGCTTTAGTCAACCCTAGGATCATATGGCCATGCACAATTCCCATCATGAGGATTTGAATTCAAGACCACCATGTCAGTACACAAGAGCTACTTCACAACCATAGCTCTGTATTATGAACTGAAAATATGTTAAAATATTGGCCAATCCATCCCTCCCTCCCCCTTTAGACACTCCGTGTACGCTGTGTCTGATGGCTACTTCACTAATTACCCAGGTGTACTGACCCATTTTTTCGCTTTCCGTCCGTGTGTTGGCGATGTATAGGCTAGTACCTGTCCTGTTCATCCTCTTGAACAGTTTTTCACCAGGGGCACAGATAGTATAATTTATTTTGTACATTAGGGTCCTATGTAATCACTTTATAGTTAGAGCATATTTGTGTGTGTGTGCTGTGTTGTTCTTTATGTGCTGATGAAGGCTAATTGCCGCAACGTCCTTTGTTTATTGTGATCGATTTTCTCAAGCTAACAAACTATTTGTTCTTTCTTACTCCTTTTTTCTCTTCCATGTAATTTCCGACCCTTTTAAAAACTGGTTTTTAGTAGAGAATGATCTTGTGAGTGGTGAATGTTTTGTTAGTTGATCTGTATTCACTAGTGGTTTCAGTTTTCTGAGTCTAAGAAATGCACCTGGCTTAACAAGAACAAGATTTTATATATGAGGGTGAATTACTTGACTTTTCCTTCAGCTATGCTGCTATCCACCAAGAAGCCCCAGCATTTTCAGAAATGAGTGTCCAGCAAGAAATCTTGGAAACAGGCATTAAAGTTGTGGATCTTTTGGCACCATATGCCAGAGGTGGAAAAATTGGTAAGTTTTTAATGTTCTGACTTAATTTGCAGACATTGAATATGTAACATCTAGTGTAGAATACATGCACTTGTATATTGTGGCTGAGTCATTGGTCTTCTCTGATGCAAAAGGTACTGGACTCAAATTCAGCTCATGTCCACCGTTCAGAACAGGGTAATTTGACGGAACCTGTCAATGCTGAACAAATCTTTGGTTATTGAATTGGTTGCCTGGCCTGCTTAGGATAACACTAGAAAAAGGAAGCAGTGCCTGCAGTTAGGCACGTTGTAAATCTGTCAGTGTTTGTAAATTATAAATTATTATTTGTAGACACTGTCTTGCTAAAATGTAAAAGTAAAGACAGAATATTTATGATATTATGGAGGTTGATACACTCACACTCTGTCTAGCTAGTCACTATATTATTACAGTTGTTAATCCATATGGGAATGAGAATGAAGAAAGAAATCATTGTAGAAAGGATGAGAGCTGAATGTCTGAGAAGAAACAGGCTAAACATAAATGTTGATGACAGCGGTCCTGAAATCCTATGCTTTAATTGTAGAAGGCTTTTCCTAACACTGGCGGGTCTTGCTAGTCACACTCGCCATCGCCTTGGGCTGTGAGTCCCATGCCGCCTCATAGCGCAATATAACACTGTTGCCTGGAAAGACAGAAAGGTGCCATTTAGTACATATGGAATACTATCATATCCTCATTGCATCCTGCAGTTACTTCTTTTAACCAAGAAGCTAACTCATTTCAACTGTGTCTAAAATGACAATACTTGTCACATCTTTGTTTTCAGGTCTCTTTGGTGGTGCTGGCGTAGGGAAGACTGTGCTCATCATGGAGCTGATTAACAACGTTGCCAAAGCTCATGGTGGCTACTCTGTGTTTGCTGGAGTCGGTGAGAGGACCCGTGAGGGCAATGATCTGTACCATGAAATGATCACAACCAAGGTTATCAGTCTCACTGATGACACCTCTAAGGTATTATCACTGCCATATCTGCGTGTTGCTGTTATTTTATTGTTTAGGTAGCAGTCTAGGGGAGAAGCTCCAACAAGTGGACAAACAGCGCATCTCTTCTGATCTGGCAGTTTCTGCTGTATTCCAAACACACTGTGTCTTCTTTCCTTTGGTATAAACAGGCAGGCTGAGACATGGATCATGCTGCATGGGCATTACAAGATTCATATTGAGCTGCTGCCTATGGAAAGGGGGACATTCATCCCTGGATTGTCTTTTTGTCATGGCCTGTGTTTCCCAAGCCTTCCTATGGCAGAATATAACACTTATCATCTTGAAGGACGGAAAGGTGCCAGCGAACAGACCAAACAGTGTTCATATAATTAAACATTTCTCAATGCCGTCCATGGTAAATTATGCATTGTTCATTGTTGGAAAATTAAGGGGCTCTTATTTCAATAAATTTCTGTTGTTAATGTTCTGGAACACTTATGTGTATAATCTTTCTCCAAACTATTGTCTTAGATTCTGTTTGGCTTTCTTTTGACTGCCTTTCTCCTCTACTGCTGAACTTCCCAATCGGCATAGTGTTTTCCGGTGACCCTTTTCTCATTTTATGACCAAAAAACATTGCATGTCTGTTTTAATGGCTGCTCTGCTTTACCCTAGGACTGGACTCTCATGGGTTGAAGTACTTGGAACAGTGCGATTTTTTTTTTTTTTTTTTTTTTGTCAAATGCAAAATAAACACCCTAAGTGGCTTTTTTAAATACACTTTAGCATTTTTGTGTTCAGTTAAATGGTTGTATTTTTTCTACACTAAATGTCAATTTGTTTCTGAAGGTGTCCCTTGTCTACGGACAAATGAATGAGCCTCCAGGTGCCCGCGCCCGTGTGGCTCTCAGTGGGTTGACTGTGGCTGAGTTCTTCCGTGATCAAGAAGGACAAGATGTGCTACTCTTCATTGACAACATTTTCAGATTCACTCAAGCTGGTTCTGAGGTGATTTGAATATTTTTGGTCACGTTTTCAGCCTCTAAATTTGAAGGCGAATGTTTTTTGTGCCAACTCATTTGACAGTCATGATGTATTCTTCGCTTAACATTGCATATTTCATTGTTACTTTTAGCCAAAACACACAAAGAAATTTGGCTTCCGTGACCACTGCCTTTAAATTGGCTGTTATCTTTTAAATATTGCATTCAAGATTTGTTGTACTGGATTTTTCTGTCTTTGGCTTCAGCTGTGTACTGTTTGGGCCTTAAGGGGTTAATTATTTTGTGTGGTAAATAAGATTTTATCGTGGGATAATATTGAGAATCAAATAGCAAGCAGTGATGTCTCTGCTGTATGTGACTCATCTATTTTCTGAGATTCTACCAGTATCTGTACTTCTGCCAGATTGGCTATTGTAGTGAAGTTGGTTACATAAGCTGAAAAATAGCACAAGAATGTCATAGTGTCCAGTTGGATGAATTACGATAATACAGAAACAAAAAACTCCAGGGGAGGGGGGGGGGGTAAAGTTCTTAGGAGAGTGTTCAAAGTCTTTTCCGTGTGGTATTTTTGTGTCTGCCCACCAGATTCTGTTCACATGTACTGCCAGGCACTTCCGATATTGGTGTTTCTCCATGCTGTGATGTTAAATTAGCATCCTTTCTTGGTCTCCCACTGCCTTTCCTGCCCAAAAAATGTTCCTGTTGTCACATCAGTGGGGTATTTCTGACATAAAAACATGTGAATGATCTGAAACATCTTAATGATAGAAAAATGACTATTTTACCGTGATTTTGTCATTATGTGTTGTCACTATGCTGATACTTATGGAAAGATATTAAACACAGAGATGATCCCAAAAGTAAATTGTTACTACCTTGGTTTAAAATTGACATTTTCAATGCCTTCAGGCGTATAGGGCTAGACTTATATTTTATAGACCAATCAGCACTTATTGGGTTATGGTCAGAATCACACCGGCCAGTCAGGACTGCAACGGTTACTTTATAGTAATTTCAGTCATTCTGTGTTGCACTCAATGTATAGGACTACAGATGCTTTTGTTTCCATCTTATTGCACAACCAAATTCAGCGCAAGAAAGGGTTATAACTGAATTCTTAACATTCATGCTGCTAGAACTTAATTCTTATAATTTACATTTAACTATTGTGCTATTTTTATTTGAACAGGTATCTGCCTTGTTGGGTCGTATCCCATCAGCCGTAGGCTACCAGCCTACCTTGGCCACTGACATGGGTAGTATGCAGGAGAGAATCACCACAACCAAGAAAGGATCTATTACATCTGTGCAGGTACTTTCAAAATAGTGATCATTTATTAACAAACATAACAGTAAAAATTACATTTGTAAGTCCACTTAACCCAAATTTTTTTACTAAGTGCTTTATGTAATTCAGTGTCATTGTTGAGAAACCCAAATTTCTAAGTATTTGGTGAAATAATGTCACTGTTGATGTCTGTCATGTTTAAACACCTAATAATTCTGGTCCCCTCATGAAGGCTGAAAGTTTGAAAGTAAAAGTGGTTGCTGCAAGCGGATCATGTGCTGTCTAATGGGTTACCATGAACTTGAATTTCTGACTTACATATATTTGACTCAGTTAACTCTCTGCAGCATCAATGTTTACTTGCGACTGTCTGTATTCTGTATTGAATTTAGCTTTGTTTTTGTCATAAAATGGAATTATGAATGTTTTGATGACCTACATTAAATGGGTGGCTATTTTAAAAGAATTATTTGACAATTCACTAATTATTGGTCATTGGCATTTTTTTTCCTGGGTCATGTAAGCCACAGGGTTAAAGTAGCAGTTTTGGATAGAAACGGTTGATCAATCTGGTACTGAAAGAGTGAAATTTACTCAAAGCTTGATGTCTCATGCCTGCACTTTTGCTGAATTTGGGGGAGAGGGTGGGGTGGATCCTTGATCTGGGCCAGGAGGCTCAGCTGAACCCACAGTATCCGGCTAGTATCATTGCACTGAGTAAATATTGTGGTCGTTCACCCTATTTTGCTGGAGTATTATGAATGTTAAATTAAGATCGATATCACAACAGTCAGGACTCTCCTGTCTTCGGCAGCTATTCCGATGGCACAGCAAATGTCTGATTGTACATCCATCTCGCTGGTCTTTGGGGTTTTGAGCGTCTTCAGATCCCCTAGTAACTCCTGATAGCGCCATTCTCCTCAGACCATAAGGATCTATTTGTGCCTCTGCAATGTTCACTCACTCTCAAAGAACCCTAACAACATGATCTAGCTTGTCATACATCAGTTCACTACAGAGTGGTGCAAAACCGGCCAGTCTATCTGCTCATTCAGCTCATTCATTTCCCAACACACCAACATAACTTGGAAACATGCTGTATTATTGAAAAACAAATGAGTACTGTATTACAACTTCTGTTATTGCAAAGCTCCATGGTTGAGTTTCAAAATATGGAATGAAACAGTGAACCTTCTCCATGTATTATTACCACATGCCAGAGGTACCATACATATCAAGTAATGATTGGATCTATCATATATAACACACCTCACAGCACGAATGCTAGTTTTATAACTTCCGGCTGCTTTTTTTTAATTTATTTTTTATTTCTAACTAGGCCATTTTCGTGCCTGCTGATGATCTGACTGATCCTGCTCCAGCCACCACATTTGCCCATCTGGACGCAACAACCGTATTGTCTCGAGGAATTGCAGAGTTGGGTATCTACCCTGCTGTGGATCCCCTTGACTCCAACTCTCGTATCCTGGACCCTAACGTCGTAGGGGAGGAGCACTATGCAACAGCCAGATCTGTACAGAAAATCCTCCAGGTATGCTTAACCTCTGCTTCAGCTGTCTTAGCCATTTAATTATATTGTATCTTTAAAAAAAAAAAAAAAAATTTTTTTTATTTAAAAGTAAAAGCAAACAAACATGACTAGTTACTCTTTGCACAATCTAAGGTGTGTTATAGAATATGTAATGTCCCTTTTCTTCATGTTCACCGAATGTGAACTCCTATGGACAGTTCTGGTTGTTTGTCTGCTTCTGGGCTTGTCTTATTCCAGAACTTGAGTTTTGTGTGCATATCTGTTCTAAAGATATGGCTTTATTTGTATGCAGACTGTTGAATCCTCGCCTCTCAGGCAAATGCACCCTTGACTTCGAAGGAAAATGGAAGATGTCCCATGTCATTCTCAACTCTGTCAGTACTAGGGAATGCATCATGCTTTGATTTATATAAAATTGTCTTTTGGTGCCGAGAGATGCATGGTCGCACGAGAAGAGACAAATGGAATATATGATAGCATTTATGGATAAAGAAAGCAGAAGATTATTCTCAAAAGCTGTTGACTAATTGGGTGGTTTCTTTCGAAGTCTAAGTGCATCTGACAGAGCGGCAAGGAACCAAGTCTGCATGCAAATAAGTCAGTTCTGGGACATGCCTAAAGTCCTGAGGCATTTAAAAAACCAGGACTTTCTGCCAGAGTTTACATCCGGTGAATGCGAAGAAGTAGCAGTCTTCTTATGAGGCTTTTCTGGTCTGTAAGAATAGTCTTTCCTCTTGTGTCGAGTGCGGCACATAGGGCAGAGGTCGTGACTCTCCATGCACGGCGGTCCGTTGCAATCCGTTGTAGGTCTTGGATGTTTGAGTGGCCCATGAGCGAGCCTTCCCTGATGATAGTTCTACGTAGGGTTTCCCTTGGTCTTCCACGAGATCTTTTCCCCTGTGGTGTCCAAATGAGGGCTTGGTAAGGAAGTCTTGATTTATCCATTCTAAGGACGTGGCCGACATAGTTCCAGCGGCGTTTTCGTATAAAATTAGACACATACTCTTGCCTGGATTCTTGCCTTATTTGTGTATTGGTTCGGAAATCTGACCATTGGAAATTTAGTATTCTTCTAAGGCATTTATTTTCAAAACTGTCTAATTTTGTGTAAGAATACTTTATATTTTTTATCAATATCCTGTATGTACATATTACGAAAGACCAAAAAATATTATTATAATTTGCAGGACTACAAGTCACTTCAGGATATTATTGCCATCTTGGGTATGGATGAGTTGTCTGAGGAAGACAAGCTGACTGTGGCCAGAGCCCGCAAGATGATGAAGTTCTTGTCCCAGCCTTTCCAGGTGGCTGAAGTCTTCACTGGCTCCGAGGGCAAATATGTCCCACTTAAGGAGACCATCAAGGGCTTCAAGATGCTTATCAATGGTCAGTATCTTTTATTTTTTATTTATATTTTAAATAGTAATAAAATAGTGGGGTGAGGGGTAGATGAGGCAATCGTTGTGTGTTTACAGAGGGTTCTTGTGTATCACATCTTAGCTGTCGGGATGCCCTGTTGGTTGTACATACCCATGCAAGACTAATATTTCTATCACACACCGTGGATATTTTAGCTACCTTTTTTTTTTATCCTAAGAAAAACCTGGTGAATGGGTGAATCTTATCTCTTGATTTCCCTCTGTAACATTGTGTTCTCTTACAGCCTTTAGTCAGCAAATACTAATGAATTCTGGCTTCCCCACTAGTAATTACCATGTGTATATTGACAGTAATGTTTTCTACATCATGGTAATTTCTTCGCTTTGGCATTTCCTGTGAAACCTTCTGGTACCAAAAGGGTTCAGGTTTTAATTGACCAAGATGTTGAAGTTAATGGACTCTAAAATTCCAGTAACCTAATTATGTAGCAGGTCCTTTGCAGAACATCGCTCTTCACGGTCTGCCTGAAAGAAACCTAAGAAACGCCAGCTCTCCTGCCTCGAGTACTCTCATATTCAAGGAGGCACTTAAATCTTGTGCCCATCTTTGTGTTGGTCGGCCCCTGCCCCTCCTTCCAGGCACCATGCATTCTGGTATTACTTTTCCCAATACGCCATGGTGCTTGATATGACTAACAGATTTCAGCTTCCGAGACAAGCTGCTGTTTATTAGCCAATCTTCCTTGATGTTCATATCTTTTAAAATTGGTTTCCATAATGAGTTTCTTGGGATAATAGTGCGGTAGTTTTCCACATCCACATGGCTTTAGACTGTCTGCAGCCGTCAGCAACTTTTTAGATTGCTAGGGCAAGTGATGCTCCTGCTAACAGCAGAGCTCCCAGAGATGTAACCAGAAAATAGGAAACTCTCAGGCACATATTATGGGCATGGGCTCCATTGGGACATGAAAAGACACTTTTTTTTATTGGAAGAAAAATGTTCTAATAAATTTCTGAACTGGAAAGTTTGACTATGATTTTAAAAAAGTGCAGGTTTATGCCTGGTTTTCTAGTCACAGTGTAATATAGTGAATGGAATGTGGTGTGTTTATGCTTTATTAGTTCACCACTAATTATTGCCATTGTGGGGACTGATAAGACTGCATACAGAGAGAATGGCAGCAGTAACAGAGATGATTCTTCTCTGTTCACTGGCTGTAAGCTGCGACAGGAATTCCTGCTTGTTCATCTATTTGGAGAGGTCATGGCTCTCCTGTCTGGTGGTTCCTTGCCATGTCATCTGTGTTCATTGGGCGCATGATTTGATTGAGCATTTCCTGATAATGGTTCTCTGCAAGAATACAGTGGAAAGATAATATGCTGGCAGACCTGCAAACATTTGAAGTTACCAAATGGAAAAAGACCAGTCACAAGACGAGATAAATGGAAGCGGGTGATGTCAGCAGAGCTGAACCTAATGGGCTCGGAATGCTGAAGAAGATATTCTTTTACATGGATATAGAAGGCACATGGAAATCACTGCATCAGTTTTGCAGGAATAAATATATGGCATGGCAGCTAGACATGCGGCGTCCGTGGCTAAGGCGTTGCGAGTCCGACTCGTAAGCCAGCATACTGCGATCGAAACCCACTGCAGGCTGCGTGGATTTTTGTCGTGGTATGGGACGTCGCAGGTAGACCCAGCCTAAAATGGGTACCAGGATGGGCTGTCCTGGGAAAGTAAAGACAGCCGGCGTAATGCTGACCACATTACCCACAGAGTGCTGATGGTCTGTAAAAATATGGGACGCTCTGCCCGATGCGCCTAAAGGCGTAAAAAGGAAACTTTACTTTTTTTTTACTTTACTTATGGCAGCTAGACATGCAAGGAAGTTGGCAACTTTAGATGTGATGTGCAATACCTATACTTGTTTGTTTCAGGTGAACTGGACCACTTGCCTGAAGTAGCCTTCTACATGGTGGGCAACATTGAAGAGGTTGTGGAGAAAGCAACAAGGCTGGCAGAGGAACAGTCATAATCAGATTAGGTCACCATTATTTTTATTATGTTGAACCTAGTGTGCGAAAGTTTTAGTGTGTCTTCATTAATTTGCAGAGAATCTTGCTAGTGATGTTAAAAACATAATTTTGTCTGCTAAGACAGACAGCAAAGTAACTGGCTTGTTTCAGCACAACACTAACTTATGCTGTTGAGACATGGTGTATGGAGAACTGGCCACTGTTGGGATATTCTGTATTGGAACTACCGTGATGCAGTTATTGATATAAAGTTTGTGTTTTGAAGCTCGCTGTGTTTATTGTAGTTTTATGTTTGTCTTTTGCACATGCTGTTCATTAGTACAACTGATTATTTGTTGTTTTAGTTCCTGATTGTCAAGACTCTTGAAATTGTAGTTAACAACATTGAAATCTGGAATAAATATATAACTTCAACAGTTTTTCTTACATCTTGTGTGAATGCTTTTGTGTGAAATTGTGAACAGAACGTTTGCAGTATGCATTGTGGCTTTGATTACAAGTCAAAACTTTTGAGCATGCGAAAGTCATCAACCAACATTTGTTTGCATATAATATAATGAATAGTTACTATATGAAACCAAACAGTACATACATTTATTGACTGCTGTATACATTGATGGTCACCAATTGCCTTTTCACAGGACTATATGCCTGAGTGGTCTTGAGGCATAGCATTCGCCTTAAGTGATGGGTAGTAAAATTGGACCCCTATGTGTATTGTTGCACGCGTAAAGTAAATGGGCTTGAGTTAGAAATAGAACGGAGCATTTGTGGGTTACTAACCTTGTGCCATGATGTTAATTGGTTGTATAAACATATGCCTGATACCCATAACAAATATGTATTCCCAAGATGAAAAGTTTGTTGAGATAATTTTGTCTGTGGTCTTCAACAAAAAATTTTAAAGACTGAAAGTTATAAGGGAGCAGGGGTGGGAAACAACTGAGAAACCTTCACATTTATTAGGGTAAACTGGGTTTTAAATTGAACATTCGTCTTTAAAAATGGCACACAAACAGAAAAAAGGCTGTCACTTTGCGTCTGTGGGTGGAACCTTGATATGCACACACGCTAAAGGCATCTGACTCAAGAGATCAGACCATGCAGTTTCACGTTTATCCCCGAGAAATATTTTCGTGCTTACACGCATGACAAAAATTAGCAGCCACTTGAAAGATGTGCTCGGATCAAAAGCTGCACATGTTGAAGTGAATCATGTGCTGTGTAGTCAATTATATTCCCTGTGCAGAATGTTCGTAGTTATCGTACCAATTTGCTAGCTGTGTTTTTGTAGAAAAAAATACAACCTGTCACACACTTAGTTTGTTTCTTCTTTCACTGCAAATTAAATTGTAAGCTGGTATTAAAATCAAGGGTGGCCGTGTTATCTATACAAAGGGCTTTTCTTCTGGCGGTACGCAACGGTTAGCAGTACCGGTACCTTTGTATGCATCAGTTTGTTCTTCGTGGCTGTACGCTCGTTTACATTGGTGTAAATACTGCTTGTACTGTGACCAGCTTGGAAAACACAACTTTCTATCACGAATAACGCAGAAGAGCGCTTCAGTTTCCAGTATCAGTTCTGTAGTTTATTCCTGCCGATTCTCCCACTCCTCGATCAGTTACTCAGTTAACATCTCTGCTCATTTCCACATTACAACTACAATAATCTTTCACACGTTTTACGTTTCAAACTACATAACGACCTGTTTTTTCTCGACCTCTGGTAACCAACTGCCCACGAGCCAACCTCGGGCTTGTCTCGTTTACCTTTTCAGCCCCAAGTATCTCGTGCGGTCATTTACTGCATGGATTTTTTGCTCGACTTGCTGTGACCGTGGAGACCATGCAAAGCAAGGTTATTACGTGGCTACTGTTAAAGATACTTTGTAGCGAGTACCGGCACTAACTGTTTTTTTTTTTTTTTTTTAAGAAAAGATATAAAACTGAACGAAAAGTGTATAAGCAAGCTTCACAATACAGTAAATACAAACAAAACGTGAACGTTGCGGCTATTGAGCCTTCATCAGCACATACAAATAAAATGACTTAGCTGGTATCTCGAAACAGTCCGGTCGGTTGTTTCTCAGCATAATCTAATTGTTTTACAAAGCACCGGCTATAGATAAGTCGGGGAGCCGCCGTGGTGTAGCAGCTAGACGCTTGCCTGCGATTCAGATGGTTCTGACGGAACCGGACTTGTTTTTATGACCTTGGCTTTGAAGTCAACCCAGCCTTGGAGGAGTACCAGGTACATTCCTGGGAAGTAAAGGCTGCCGGCGTGGTGCTGACTACACGAACCGAATGTCGATTGATCTAAAAAGTATAGGTCTAGCTCTTTATGTCCAATGCGCTCAAAAGCGTGGGGGGTGGGGGAGTTTTCCTGACTATAAGATAAGTGAAATGGCAGTATTTCGATTTTTTTTAGTCCAGTCGGCACAAGATGGGTGTTGTAGTCCAGTGTTCCGCAATTTTTAACACACGTGGCCCACCAAAACTGGAAACTTTCGCGGCCCCTCTTATAGCTAACCAAACATAGAAACAAATGTTAGGTTAGTTGCGTATCCTTTACATGACGTTGCAGAACCAACCCCAACAGCCCCTGGCTGTTGTGTGGTTTTTTCTAAGCAAATGTACGTCCAGTGGTTTGCCATTGCTTGATGGACGGTCGGCTTTCTTGATACCACTGTCGAAACCAACACAAGGCGCATGGCCCGCAGCTGGGATCGAACCCGGCATCTCGGCATTACGAAGTGTTCGCATCGACTTAGCCACAGAGCCGACAGAAACAAGTGTAGACAGCAGTTTATTTGTTAAATCCGGTGTGACACAATTACAAGCTTCAGCCGATGCCACATCATTCGATTCTCTTCCTTGATGTGTTAATCATGCAAACTGTAATTTTGGGAGAGCAGAGCTATTCAACAAAATTTACACAAGGGTCACAATAATGAAAATGAGTTATGGTCTGGGTTTTCTTTGCGACACTCCGGACACGTCCATAGGTGCTCAGATTCCCCCTTCAACATTTACATCAGCGTCCTGAGGTTAACAGTCTAAGTCCTATACTGGTTGACAAAACTTCGTGTGTGTCCGGTGTGCCTCTCATGCTTGGCGGTGCCGATCTTTACTCCCAATTAACTTTGAAAGCGTGGATCGCCACGGGCCAGAGGCCGAACCCGAGCATAGAAAGATCATTAATACAATACAAGGACCTGTTCGCGTTTCCCGCCACATCTTCACACTTTTTCAGTCTGATCTATGTCAGATGGACATGACGTTGTACTGCTTTCTTCGAGAAGAGTCTTTCGTGTGGCCTAGGGGGGGGGGGGGGGGTGTTAGGGCCAGTTGTAGGTGTTCTGGTGTCGTTTAAAGCTGTGTAGTATAGAACACAAAACATCGGCGCTGATGTAATTAAAGGGAAGACAACGTAAAACCCTCTCGGAGTCGGAGAAAATATGAATGAAAGATCAGGGAGCGTGTAGATGGGCCGGAAAACGTGAATAGGACCCACTGAAATAACGATGATCTGCGTGCCATTTGCTAGGCGTCTGAGAGCCACATCTGGACTTCTCCGTGGCCTTCCGGTTGAAGAACATGGATGTGGTCAACATTACGCCGGTCGCTGTTACTTCCTTTGGCATTTCCTGATCTGTTGTTTAGCTAGGTCTACCAGGAAGCACCGTATCATTTATAAATATGCATCCCGATGCGGATTCGAACTCGTGATTTTCGGGTTGTCTTGAAAATGTTTAGCCACTTTTCAATTGCGGCTTTCATATGCTTAATAGACTGTTTCTCTCTCTCTCTCTCTCTCTCTCTCTCTCTCTCTCTCTCTCTCTCTCTCTCTCTCTCTCTCTCTCTCTCTCTCTCTCTCTCTCTCTCTTTCTTTGAATGTACGTGTGCGCTCATTGTGACATATTTTGAAAAACCCGTTGCTTTTTTTAACAGGTTACGTCTCAAATGTTTTGAAAGTGTTCTGTTAATAACTTTTCTTAAACATATGAACCCGTTAGAACTAAGAAGAACTGTTGAAAGTCAGGGAAAATTGTGTGAGTGAGAAACCGCTGTCCAAACGGTTAAATACACCAGGCTTTCAGTAGAAATATCTCGATTCGAATCCTTGGTAAAGCTGTAGATTTTTTTTATTACAACTCACGTTTTCGGCTCAAGAAAAAGAGTGACTTCTCTTCGCATTCATAAATCGCTGTGTTCTATGTTGCAGGGGTGTCACGCTACGCTGCATACAGTCCACGGCCAAGGCTGCATGTAGTCATGGGACGTAAGGGGGTTGGGGTAGAGGTCAGTTCTGCATTTTTCGGGAGCGTTAAAAGAGCTTAAAAGGTAAAGGTAAAGTCGGGAGATGTGAACCAGCGTCACTGCTCACGGTTATAAACCATAATTGCTCTGCACCAGTACGGAGAGCTGATAAGAAACTGTCCACCTGTGTCGCCATCCGCACATAACTCTGTAGCTACCGCGATGTTCCTCCATTTACCCCAGAGTGTCACTCTGGTACCCATTTCCTAGAGGCCGGATGAACATCGGGAACCGCCCGGTTTCGAACACCGACCGTGGCTGCAGCGAGTCGCAGCTGGGGCTATAGGAGGCCCGATAGCGAGCCTCCTATCGACTGCGCTAATAAAAGAGCTTACATCCTGTAATATAGAACACACGATATCACCAGCCGGTGTCAACAAGAGAAAAAAATGCTACATATTGTTGGCCGGTCACTAAGCTTGACACCGCCACATTATAGCGCAAGCCGTGCGAGACGGCGATTTATGAATGGAAAGGAAAGTCACTCTCTTTCTGGGCCTGAAAACGTGAGATATACCATTTCTATCGGAGGCGGGGGGGGGGGGAACCCATAATCTGCAGTCTGTGGCAACAGCACTAGCCATGCAACCCTAAATACTCAGGCTTAAAGACTCCCATAACCACATATGCCACAAAAGTTACAGGCAGTTTTAATGGCGGGGTGTATGGGATAGTGTGTTCAATTTTTGGTAATAGATCAATCTTGTCTAATCTGTTTACACATGCGGACCGGAAAGCATAGGAGAAATATTTCGCAAACCAGCGAACGGATGTTGAATCTTGTTGAATTGAGAATCGACATCGCAGCACTCGTGACTCCACCATAAGCGTTCTGTCCCCATCTTCTGCAGGAAGCGAAGAGTTCAAATTCCGATGACACCGTCTTGCCTTTCCCCTGAGTGTTGAGCGCCGGTCAGATCCCTTTGTAACTCCTCGCAGCACAATTCTTGCCAGGCCGTAATGATCTATCAAAGCCCCCGTACTGTTCAATCACTCCCTAAATTATTCTTGGGTGTTCAGTTTTGGCGGGCCGCCAATTGAATAGCCCTACTATACAGTGTCTTTAAACGGTTGTGTTTTGGCACCCGACGATTAAGAAGTAACATGAAGTCCAGCCAGGGTAGAGCGCAACATAAAGGTATGAACAGACTATGACCTTTTATTATACACAGCAACCCACGACCACCCACGTTAATCGACAGGCCACATGATGATAATGCTGCTGATCTGCGGCCATCTTAATGAAGACAGTCTAAACGACCTCTTCAATTTAATCTTCCACCAATCCGTGTCTGCCTCTAGATAGATAAATCGAGATATCTCTCCTAACACTTGATAAACTACGCCTCACTTTAAAATATAAAATTACTCCATTTCATTTTGCCCGTGATAAACGTGTCACATCTACAGCTGTCATTGCTGGCACAGGGATATCGTGGTGGACAATCTCGGATAAGTGTTGCATTTGTGGAGAGTTAGGCGGCTTATTGTTTGTTGAGTTTATTCTCGGGAAATATTGCTGTATGTATATGACGGACACAGGGTTTTATCCTTGTGTTTATTATTTTGTTTGAAGCGGGAGGAGCAGTAAGAGAGGACTAGATGATGACGGTTAAACGGACAGACAGATAGGCAGACAGACAGATATATAGACAGACAGACAGACGGTCGGGCGGATAGTTAGATAGATATACAGACAGACAGGCAGGCAGACAGACAGACAGATAGATAGATAGATAGACAGACAGACAGACAGACAGACAGACAGACAGACAGACAGACAGACAGACAGACAGGCAGGCAGGCAGGCAGGCAGATAGGCAGGGCAGGCAGATAGGCAGGCAGGCAGGCAGGCAGATAGATAGATAGCAGATAGATAGATAGATAGATAGATAGATAGATAGATAGATAGATAGATAGATAGATAGATAGATAGATAGATAGATAGATAGATAGATAGATAGATAGATAGATAGATAGATAGATAGATAGATAGATAGATTTGTTTTTTTAGTATCCAGAAGCCATGACTTGTTAACCCTTAGGCACGGTATTATGGATATCGCAACCCTTCGGCCCTGATTCCATGATAAATACCTTAAATCCTGGAGATATGTGGCTTTTCTGCCTACCCCCGGCGTGAACCCGGACCACAAGGAGTTTGTCACCCGGTCACCGCGCAATCCGGTTTAGCCAACTACGCTAGCGAGCCGGGCATACAGATAGACAGACAGATAAGATTAGATAGACTCGAAGACCAGGTTCCTCGGTAAGGCTACCGAACATTTATCCGCTGCAGTACTGTGGCTCCTATAGCTCCCCTTGCACAAGAATGTTTATTTTAATGGTGTTTTTGTTTTCATTTAAAGAGAATGGCTGCAAGAAAGAAAGTTCCAAACAAACCAAAGACATTTATCGGTCAGCATCTAAATGGCACCTCTGATTCAAAATGCAACAGTAAGCTTCCAAGGACGAGCACGGCCATATTGATTACCAGCGACGTAACCACCTACTTGAAACTATCTGTCTTGATCCTTCTAGTTGCCGGTGTTGTCGGTTTTTTGCTGTATCCAGACATTCTGAACGTCTTGAGGACGGTACAGGGAAATGCCGGTTTTAATGAACAAACGAGGAAGCAAGAACTGCAGACGGAAAAATTACGAGTTATTGAGAGAAATAACGTGGAAGATGATGACAAGTTGAGTCCATCTGATGAAGATGATGCCAAAGTAATCCTTGCTGATGAGACAGATCATGAAAATGTCAGTCCGTTGGAAAATACGAAAAAACGGAAATTTAAAGAAGAGGAAATGATCAATCAAAAGAATAGTCTTGAACCAGGTGAGAGTGTGGCGGCGTTTGACGAAGATGATTCAGATCTGGTCGTTTATGATAGTATCGGTCATGAAGATTTGATGGAAGATGAAGAAAAAGAAACACAGCTCAAAATGCTTAAGTCTTCGCTAAATTTAAATCCCGAAGCAAAACAAGGTGCAACAAAACTTGAAGACACCACGATGTCACAAGCAGAATCATTAAATAAAGAAACAAGGAACCAACAACCTAAAGACAAAATGTCCTCAGCTGATGAGAAAATCAGAGAAGGAAGACCCGGAAAATCGCTAGACAAAACAGGCAAGAAATCAGGGCCTATAATTCTTAATGCACAAAACAGTCACGTTGTTTTGGACCCATCACAAATCAAAATTATCAATTCGTCGTTGGATAAAAAACCCGAAACAAAACAGCAAAGCCACAGCAAAAAACATCAAGATGCTCCTAAAACCCAAACCAACCAAAACAAAACACGTAAGTCAAATGCAAAAATCAAGGCAGAAAAACCAACGAAAGTTAATGCAGAAGCGAACGAGGAAAACGAAACCATTAAAGAAATTGGATACCAAAATGTCCAGTAATAAAATTCAGGAACGCAGCAATGAAAATGCTGACAATGTCTTAGAGAAAGCCAAAAAGTTCAATGCTACCTACCAGAAAACATTTACACCGAAAAAAATATTTCAGACGGCAGAAGGATCCTCCAATTGAGTTACTTCATCAGAAAAAAAGTAATAGCAGTGTCAGGTAGGTTTTTGTTATTTTATTTATCTTTCTCAGTATACCAACTCTCTAGCAGACGCAAATAACAATGAAAAATCACAAGTGTATTTCTCTGTTTTTAAAATAGTAGAGAATTCATGACGGAAGAGCCAGATTTCTTTAGGTAATCAATCTGCGACTAAATGTCAAAACAAGAAAGCTCATCAAACGTTTGCTGCAGTTTAGGGCGAAGAGCCATTATATATTAAATAACAGTTCAAGTAACGTTTTCCGGCCCATACACACACCGTGATTGGCCGTTGATTCATGCTTGCTAACTTTTCACACGCGCTAGTCTAATATGTTATGTGTATTTGTACATCTTACGTTTTATCAGGACACACTAGTGTATTTCACCAATACTAAATATGGTGAGTGGCTTGTAACGAAATAACCTTATGCGATTAAATGCACGTGCAACTACTGCTGTTTTTTTTTTTTCCTGACGATTAACTGAATTTCTAGTGCCGGACCATTTGTGTAAGCACTTCTGACGGTTGCCTCAGGCATTTAAGGCGTGTTTAGGCATATTAGATTTGTTGAGACTGAAGTCTGTGTCAGTTGTTATTTCATTATGGACAGTAATTGGCATTCTATGTGCTCTTCGTTGGGCCAGGAACTCAGCAACTACGGGTTGACCGTTTGCTGTTAAGCTGGAGCTACCACTTGGTTAGTTGCGTATCCTTTACAGGACGTTGCATTACCAACCTCCAGTAGCCCCTGACTTTTGTGTGGTTTCTCTAGACAAATTTACGTCTAGTAGTTTGCCATTGCTTTCTGGACGGTCGACTTTCTTGATACCACTGTTGAAACCAACGCAAGGCGCATCGCCTGCAGCTGGGATCGAACCCGGCATCCCGGCATTACGAAGCGTTCGCATCGACTTAGCCACAGAGCCGACTAAAAGGAGCTACCACTAACTGATTTAAAAAACTGCTTCTGTTTCCTACAAGGGCTGTGTATTGAACCCCTGTTGATGTTATATGTTATGTTATGTTATGTTATCACAATGGACGCCACTGCGCACTGGGCATTCTCATGCGTACTCAGTCCTGCGATGCAGCAACCACTCCAAGGTATTTCTACTAATTGTTCAATGAGAGTTTGGTTTCCTATCTCGACCTCGAAGGCGGCATATAGTGATTCATCGTGCTTCACATGTGTCATAAATGTGTCAATATCCACTAGCCCAGTCCGTACAGCGATGATGATAAATGCTCTGTCCACGCGTTGTCTTTCCACATGTGTTGGTTCATTGACTGCCATTTGGTCCTGTGGATGTAAAACACTTAAGTGTAGTTTTGTTTGCTTTTTACCTACCAATATTGTTATATTCCTATGTTTTTCTGGAACCGTTAAAGTAAAGTCTGCTTTCTACCTACTACGTTTATAAGGCAAGAATTATAACTCTCGTTTCAGGGCTTTGTGTTTGTTTTGTTACGTTCCCCTTAGTCTCCCCAAGCAGAGTAGGTCACTTTTCATTTACAAGCTTGTTGGGCTGGTCGATTTTCCTGAAGGTTAAGAGTGTGTCCCGCTCAGTTGTTTGCTTTCTGTGATGTCTTGCATTTACGTTTTCATTCCGAGAAAGAGAATGCATATGATATAGGTTGCAGCACTGTCTAGAGGAGTTGTGTTAGGACCAGTTTCTCCATGTTTTTGGAGTGTTAAAAGCGCTGGCTTGCTGAAATATACAACACGAGATATCAACGGCATTGCGAAAACCCCCTTAACCTTGTGCCAAGGTGACAGGTTCAGGAACTGCCAATTAGAAGTGGGATGCTGTGTATATGGGCGCGGCGTAAGGAGGTCAACGTTACTTTTACCGTTATTTTGTAGTTAAACGCGTTGTTTGCCTTATTTAAACATTTGATTAACCCGACACGATTACGGTTGATCTCGCTTTTCTGGCACACGTTATCAAAGGAAGAACAAGATAGGCGATAGCTTGGACATTATGCAAGGACAGCTTTCTAGTGGATGGAAATTGGGGGAATGGGGGGGGGGGGGGGTTGTGGACGACATATGAAACCCAGCGAGATACAATAGAAAGGGAAAGAAATGTAAAAGGACAAAGGGATACCATTTCCAGAAAAATAGCAGACCGTTAGCAACGTAGATTTTATGTTTAAATATTTATGTGTGTGTGTATATGTGTAAAGACAGCATCTTGACCGCTTATTTGCTTTAGCACAGGATGATAATAGTGAAATCCAACCTGTGAGTTGAACTGGGTTTATGGGAGTCACAGCATTGTGGCACTTTGTGTCACCAGGTGTTTATCGCTTGGTGTGATGTCCTAGTGGGGTGAAAAACATTAATTAATCGGCGACTAACCAAAATTATGGGAAAAACAGGTCTAAACACTATAACGATTGCTTTCATCACACAGGGTGTTCTTGTTCGACGAGTTCCTATCCAAACAGGAGTGTGACGGGCTCATCAAAGCACACGACAGTCACGTGAAAGCGCTGAACAAACCACCCATCTTATGCTTTGACAGTATCGCCACATTAAGGAGGCACATTAGTGACGTCAAACAGAACATCAGCGTGACGCCCAATGACTTTACTAAAGGTCTGAAACATTTATACAAACGTAAATAGTATTGTTAATGTTTATGACTCTCTAGTGCAGTACTTCTCAACCTTCCTAATGCCGCGACCCTCCGTAACTCCGGAGACGATCCCCCAGGATCTCTGTAAAAATTGCAGCCGTGAAATGAACCCACGATCTTCAGAGCGCGAGACAAACGGCTTTACCACTTCGCCACGGAGGTAACTCGCATTATTAATATGTATACCAGACGTCAAAGTGCGAGAGAGTGCACAATAATATTCATGGTATTGTTGACCGAGGTGAATGTAAATACTTGAGTTGCGTGAAGTTTGTGTGGGCTTTGCTCATTTATGTGATTGTAATGGCCTTACCAAAAAGCTGAGAATACGATTTAATTTGATTTGTTTCAAAAACCGACATCACAGCGCTCAGGGCATTACCATAAGCGCTCTGTCCCCATCTTCAGCAGCCAGTGAATAGTTCTGATACTAATGGTGCCAGTAGCATTCTGATTAAACGTCCATCTTGCCTTGAATCGAGCATCTGCCAGAACCTCTTGTCACTCCCCGCTGCATCAATCTCACCAGACTGTGGTGATCTATCTGCTCCTCTGAACTGTACACGCTCTCCCACAAGGCACTAACTACGTCTGCCTTATCGTGTATCAGTATTCCACCAAGTTGTGCAGAGCCAGCCAGTCTGTCTGCCTGTTCATTTCCTAACACACCGGAGTACCCCGGTGAAAAAATCCAGACAATACTCCTCACCCGTGTCCTCCGCAGTGAAGCATGCCACTCTGCACGAAGCATACCTGTTCTGATCTTCCTCAGCATGCTTTCTGAATCAGTTCTAATCACGATGTGTGTGTGTGTGTCGTGTTCTCTAGCCAGCGGAAAGCTGCAGTGACCGCCTCCACCTCCATTCTTAAGCTGGATGCCCACTTCTGATTGGTAGACTTTGAGCCACGAGTCCTGTCACAAGGTTACGGGGGTTTTCCACAATGCCATTGATATCGCGTATTGTATATTTCAGCACGCCAGCGCTTTTAACACTTCAAAAACATGGACAAACTGGGTCTAACACAACCTCTCTAGAGAGTGCTGCAACCTATACTACATGCATTCTTTTTATCGGAAGAAAAACGTAAATGCAAGACAACCCAGAAAGCAAACAACAGAGAGGCACATCCGTAACCTGCCGGAAAGTAGACCAGCCCAACAAACTTGTCAATTAAATGTGACATATTTTGCTTGGGGAGACTAACGTAAAACTAACCAGCATCGGTTTGAGGTACCGGGTAGTTAGAGTCCTGAACCTTGTCCTCAGGAAATGCCGACATGTGTCTGTGAATGACAGACAGACAGATAGACAGACAGACAGCAGACATGTAGGTAGAAGGGGAGAGAGACGAGACTGGTAATCTCAGCAGCACATGCTCGATCAGTATGCTGTGTACATGTCTGTATGTTTGTGTGTTTATCTGTTTGCGTCTATGTTTGTTCAAATAACTCTTGTTTTAAAAAAATGCCGTGTGTGGTGGGGAGGGGGGGGGGGGGTATGTTTGGGTGTCAAACAAAAGTGATGGGAGGGTCGCAGGAGTATGTCAGCACTGTTAACATTATCAATGGCTACATCACTGTGGAGTTTGTGAGGGTATGTGCTGTTTTCCTTGCCTTATATGTGTTCCTGTTTAATGTTGAAGGCACCAAGTGCGTTAACGCCAGCTTCTCTTTACAACTTCAAACATGGATGAACAGTAACTGGAGCTTTAGCACGGCATTTTATCCAGGGGAGAGTACATTCTCCAAGGTCAGTTTTCACATTTCTTATACTGCTGCTTCTTCGTTCTTCTTCGCTTTTAGCGACTGTAAACTCCGGCAGAAAGTTTTGGGTATTAGTCCATCTCTGGACGTTAGTCTTGTTCCTGAACCTAAGTTTTGTATGCATATTCGTTTCACACATCTGACTTTATCTGTATGCAGACTGTTGGTTCCTTGCCTCTCAAGCAGATGCACTCCGATTTCGAAGGAAGCTCCCACGCAGTCGGCTTTTACGACATGATTGTCGGGGAGGCAGCGGGTATTTTCATGTTTTCCCCATAATGGGGCCCCGAAACCCACATGGAAACCTCCCTTTTTTTTTACATACATACGGAGTGTGCTCAGTCAACGAAGAATATGAGTTACAGTGCTGAGATTCTAGTACCCTGTAGCTTAGCCTATGTCGAACAATGATGCTGAAAATTTAATGTCTAAACCATTACCTTTCATCGTGTAGGTGCGTATGTGCACACACACACACACATTTATATATATGCACACACACGCGCGCTCACACAAACGCATATATATATATATATAAATGTGTGTGTGTGGTTCGGTTCCTGGCGGAGCCGGACTTCATTTCAAAACGGATCTTGGCTCTTAGGTCGACCAAACCTTAAATGTATGCCAGGCATAGTCCTGGGAAGTAAAGGCGACCAGTCTGATGTTGACCACATTACCAACCTAATGCAGATTGGTATATAAAATATAGATCTAGCCCTCTATACCAAGTACATCGGAAAGTGTGGAAAAGGGTACTTTATTTATGTATTTATGAAGGGTCCAGGTTTCATAGATCTCTTCCTGCTCTGACGCCGCGAGGCATTCCAGCAGTAGAGAAAAGAATAATAATAGTTTATATATCTATATATATAAAAATCAATGTTTGTGTTTTTGTTTGCCCTCTATCGGAAACTACTGAACCGATTTAGCTGAAATTTTCAGGATATGTTTGTTTTGATACCGGATGTTGAACCATCATGGTTTGAAAACCACGATATATATATATATATATATATATATATATATATATATATATATATATATATATATATATATATATATATATATATAACACAAAAAAACAAAAAAAAAAAAAAAAAAAAAAAACAACAAAAAAAAAATGCGCCCGGCTCTCTAGCGAAGTTAGTTAAACCTGACTTTCGCGGCGGCCGGGTGACGAACTCCTTGTGGTCCGGGTTCACTCCCGGGGGTAGGCAGAAAAGCCACATTTCTCCCAGATTAACGGTACCTATAATGGAATCAAGGCCGAGTGGTTGCGATATCCATAGTACCGAGCCAAAGGGTTTACAATTCATGGTTTCTGGATACGTTAAAAAAAAAAAAAAAATATATATATATATATATATATATATATATATATATATATATATATATATATATATATATATATATATATATATATATATATATATATATATATATAACAAAACTGTCCGCAATGTATTCAATGAAAATCAACAATATTCTATGAATTTACGACTGTACTGTATTTCCTAGGTAATTTCTTACCGTATTAAAGAAGCAATGGGGCTTGATCCTGCCAGCGGAGGGAAATTTCAGATAACTTCCTATCCTGAAGGAAAAGGTAACAATGGTTCTCATACTGAGAACTTTTTGTGCTTATGCCTATACTCAGTGGTAAATTTAAAAAAAGAAATTGACTCAAGTCTTTTGCTTTTAGCAACTTTTTTTTTTTTTTTTTTTGGGTACCTCCGACATGAACTTTGTAAACAAAAAAATGTGTACTTCATTTATAAAGGATTCACTTATTTGCTTCATTTGTGTAATTGTTACTGTAGTATGCACCTGACTAGATACAGCGAAATATGCCAGGTAATACACTGTGCGATCTACCGTTTGTGTCTTCTTTTTTAAATTTACTATGGCGAAACATTGTTTTGACTTTTATCTTTTTTTAACATTAATAAACTATCGGGCCCATGATGCCTGGCTCAAATTCTCTTGATAGATTCATCGGCATTCGGTGGTTGATGGGGTCACCACCATGCCAGGCAGCTTTACCTTCCAGGACATTACCTGGCACCCATCTGAGGCTGGGTCGACATGGGAGCCAGTTAATTTCGGAGGGAAAATATATTAGCCACAGTGGTACATATTCTAGCCACTGTGCTACGGTATCGTCCGTCTGCTTCTTAGTTCTCTTTAACGGTTATACATGACATTGTCTCCCCTGCCTAATTTATGAGCCATTGTAAAACACAAGGAGACGTACTAAGCGTTACTTTGGTTTTTCTATTTACATTTAAAGGAATAATATCTTGTAATGACATAAATGTCAGGTACTACGGTAATAACCTTTTCGGGACACCCCCCCCCCCCCCCCCCCCCCCCCCCTCAAAAAAAAAAAAAAAAAAAAAAAAAAAACTCATTATTCCTCTCTTTATAATTCCAGCAAAACTTCCCCGTGTGGGTTCCGGGACCCTGTAGACCCAGTGCCTCCCCAACAAACATCTCAAGAGTCGACTAATTAGGGCCTCATTCGGATTGCATTTGCCCGAGAGGCAAGGAACCAACAATCTGTTTACAATTAAGTAAGATCTGTAAAACGGATGTGCACGCAACACTCAGGTTCTGAAACAAGATTAATGTCCAGAGGTGAACGAACAACTAGAGCTTTCCGCCAAAGTTTACAGACGGTGAACGTGAAGAAGAAGATGAAGAATTCCAAAGACGGTGTAATTTTCAGGCTTTTGATTGGTACAGACAGGAGTTATTTTAGCCCTGAACTAATTTTGCACTCTATTGTCTATGGCAGAGGCCGACCGACACGAAGATGGGCACAGGATATAAGTGACTCCTTGAGTATGAAAGTACATGAGGCGGGAGAGCTGGCGAGAGACCGAGTTTCTTTCAGGCAGACTGTGATGAGAGCGACGTTCTGCAAAGAAAGTGCTACATGATGATGAGTGTCTATGATGAACCTTTTCAGATCAAAATATTTTGTTTTATTCAAGCTCGACTAACTGGTATAGGCATCTTTTAGTAACAACAACATAAGAAGGAAAGAGTTAAGTCGTAAAATTGCAGTTGTGTAAAATATAATATTCGCAGGAATTTCCAAACCTATACTGGTAAAAAGCGGGAAGACATACTAAGCGTTACCTTGGTTTATTCCATTTACAGTAGAAGACCATCCTGTCAGTGGTTTATTATGGCCTGTGACTGCTTACCGTCTCAGAAAGTCAGATGGACAAACGAGAGGTTTGCCGACTGTTGCAGGTGGGCACAATGTGCTACAGGCGAAGTCATATCTTAGGGTAGCTGCAGACACAGACCACCATTTGCATCAAGCTCTGGGTTCAGTTAAGGGTCAGCGGCTAATAAGAGGGAAGTCATGGATGGCTCAGGCAGAAGACACAGTCAGATAGGTTTGCATCCTTGAGAACATTAGGCAAGGAGAGGAGTGGGTCAAAGTGCCACCTGAACAGTCAGACTTGTGTAGGGTCATAACCACGCTGAGCCGGGAATGCAGAGACTGGCCAGCAGGTGCCACATATATGGAAATTCAACAGGTCATTCAAGATAATGCTCGCTCAGAGGATTTGATCATTTACACAGACGGTTCAGTGTCAAGAGGCAAAAGAAGTGCTTGGGGCTTTTTAGCAAAAGGTAATGGTCGACGTTTGGTGCCGGAGATCCTAGCATATGATACCACAACATCCAGCTTAAGAATGGAGGTAGAGGTGGTCACTGCAGCTTTCCGTTGGCTATAGAGCACCACACACACACACACACACACACACACACACACACACACACACACACACACACACACACACACACACACACACACACACATCGTGATTGTAACTGACTCAGAAAGCATTCTGAGGAAGATCAGGACAGGCATGCTTCGTGCAGGGTGGCATGCTTCGGTGCGGAGGACACGGGTGAGGAGTATTGTCTGGATTTTTTCACTAGGGCCGACGGTGTTTTGGGAAATGAACAGGCGGACAGACTGGCTGGCTCTGCACAACTTAATTTAATACTGATACATGATAAGGCAGAAATGGTTAGGGCCTTGTGGGAAAGCGCGTACAGTTCAGAGGAGCAGATGGATCACCTCAGTCTGGTGAAATTTATGCAGGGGGGAGTGACGAGTTGTTCCGGCAGATGCTCGAGGCTCAAAGGAAAGGCATGAAGGACGTTTAATCAGAATGCTACTGGCACCATTATTATCGGAACTCTTCGCTGGCTTCTAAAGATGGGGACGGGGCGCTTATGGGAATGCCCCGAGTGCTGTGATGTCGGTTTTTTAATCAAATCAAATCAGTAAAAGACACAATAAACGTTTCTATATAGTTCCAATGACGCTGTGATGCTCATGCTTTTGACTAAACAGACAAAGATTATTTTAGTCTTGAACTAATTCTGACCTATAGCGTCTATGATGAGCCACTTCAGACTAAAATAAGTTGTTTTATTCAAGCTCAACTAAATGGCGCAGGCAGTATTTAAATAACAACAACTTGGGACAAAGAGTTAAGACGTAGAATTACAGTGGTGTGGAATGTAATATTTACGGGAAGTTCCAGACCCAAACTGCAGGGTAAACTAAAAGTCTTTCTAGCCAATTCTACAGCCCTATATATATTTTCATAGCCAGTTCATCTCCAATACATTGCACCGCCTTCACTGAGGTCTGTTTCTGCCTCGCTTTACAGAAACGGTACCCTTTATCACTTTTCTCTCCAGACCACCATGATGTTTAACATGGCCAAAATACCCTAGCTTTCCAGGCAGGATGCTGTTTATAAGCTACTTCTCTCCTCGATACTTAAATCATGTAGGTTGTCGGTGTTTTAAGTCTTGGTACATGGCTTTCTAACAATGTAATTAGATTTATACTTGCGTAAGATAAGTGTGTTGTGCGTTTAGATAAATACTTACATCAATTTGTTATACAACTTCTCCAGCTTACAAGGAACACACGGACTGCACTTTGGGAGGCGTTGACAAGAGGGACCGTGTTGTGAGTGTTCTCATGTACCTCAGTGATGTAGAGGACGGAGGAGAGACAGCATTTCCCTGTAAGTCGTCACATCTGTTTTTCAAATGTTTTTATCGTGTCTCTTAATTTGATTCTTTGAACATACAAACTGGACCCCCTACCCCCTTTTACACACACCCACACAATGAAACATTGTTTATATCCGTAAAAATTAAACGACCCGTATCATAACACTGAAGCAACTGGCATAGTTTGCAGATTTGTGTGTGTGTGGGCTGTTGCAATTTGTCTTGGCAGATTTTACGTACATTTGTTTGCCATTGCTCTCTAAACTTCCAGCTCTCAGTAACACTGTCTAAATCAACTCTGCCAAGTCGCCTGCAACTAGGATCGAACACGGCACCCTGGCATTACAAAACGTGTTTGCAACGCATAAGCCACAGACGCCGACGGATATATAGTGGGAGACCCATATTTTTCATTGACCAAATGGCACTCGATATGCCCTATGGTAAATATAATGTCGGCTGCCTTTACTTCTCTGTGCACTTTCTGATAGCTATTCTAGGCAGGTATCTGGCGCCTAAAGGGGCGGGGTGGCAGATGGGGAGGGGTTCTGAAAATTGTTTTAATTTTCATTAGCCACTGCTTTAAAAAAAAAGCTGAACATAAGCCGATAATATATTTCGAAAAAGAATATCTATAATACTATATATTGTATATACCCCAACAATGATATTTTATTGTATTAGGACACATGTACTAGGTACTATTACAGAAATTGACTTTGTGTGGCCAGACTACTAAATGCAACTTTTTTTTTTTTAACATTAGCGGTACTGATCAGGGGTGAGTGTTTATAACAAAAAGAATCACAATGAATGATTGAATCAAGAACTAACATCCCTGCACTCGGGACATTCTGTCAAGTGCTCCGTCTCTTTCCACAGTAGCCAACGAACCGTCGATATGTTAATTGTACTATTTGCAACCTGACTGAAAGTTCGCCTGTCTTTTTCCCGTCAGTTTGAATATCTTCCAGATCCTCCAGAAGAAAAAAAATCTCAATGGATGCACAATGCAATCTAAGACTTGCAGCCTGCCAGACAAGCTTATAGCTATTGGACTGTCTCATTATAACAGGACGGCAAAAATGAATCTCATATTTCTCTGTTTCAGACCTCGGCATCTGGGCTAAACCTAAGAAAGGAAGAGCACTAGTATGGAACAACATGAGCCCAGACGGAGTCTGCGAAGAACATTCTAAACACATTGCTTCTGTGGTCAAGAAGGGCTCGAAATATATTCTTATTCGATGGTAAACGTATTATTTACACTCCTTATTTTATCTCTTAAAGATCAAGATCTGGAATCAGTTCAAATAAATGCGATCTAGGGTCCAAAACAAAAATAAACGTAAAGAAGGGTCCAAACAGCACCAGTCCTCGCTAAACAGCAAGAATTATTTAGATATCATAAAGAAAAAAAAAATACGCCTGCTTAGAACACTAGTTTTCAGTACCCTTAAATAATGGCTGTGAAACGTGAACCTTGACATACTAACTTAAACAGGAAATACAAACATTGTAAATGGGATAATTTCGAGAGGACAAAAAAAAAGGGTGGGTATGTCATTCAGAGACCACACTAGAAATGACACATTCTTCACTTCATTTTACAACCTTACTTGATAACAACCAAAAGACGGAATCATTTTACAACCTAACTTTATAACAATCACAAGACGGAATCATTTTACAACCTAACTTGATAACAATCAAAAGACGGGAATCATTTTAAAGCCTAACTTGATAACAATCAAAAGACAGAATAGTTTTAAAGCCTAACTTGAAAACAATCAAAAGACGGAATATTTTTGAAGCCTAACTTGATAACAATCAAAAGACGAAATCATTTTAAAACCTAACTTGATAACAATCAAAAGACAGAATAGTTTTAAAGCCTAACTTGATAACAATCAAAAGACAGAATAGTTTTAAAGCCTTACTTGATAACAATCAAAAGACAGAATAGTTTTAAAGCCTTACTTGATAACAATCAAAAGACAGAATAGTTTTAAAGCCTTACTTGATAACAATCAAAAGACGGAATCATTTTAAAGCCTAACTTGATAACAATCAAAAGACAGAATAGTTTTAAAGCCTAACTTGATAACAATCAAAAGACGGAATAGTTTTAAAGCCTAACTTGATAACAATCAAAAGACGGAATAGTTTTCAAAGCTTAACTTGATAACAATCAATAGACGGAATATGCAGTGGTTTATGTTTATTTAACGGATCAATATCATGGCAGACGGGTGTAACTCATAAGTGCTCAGCTCTGCTTTCAACTCAACTGAGTCGGAAGAATCTCAGCGCAGTGCACGAACTCTGTTGCACCGGCGAGTATCCTGAAATACTTTAGGTATATTTGTAATTACAAATTTTGCCCGAGCAGCGCCGTTAGACTACTCTTTTTCGATTTCCAGGTACCAACAATATACACGGGCGTCCGGTTGTACTATCCAGAGACCAGGGGAAATTACTTGACGTCCACATAAAAATCCCTTCAACCGACCTCTCCAGACTGATATTATAGGGCTCGGTAGAGGGGAAGAGGAGAAGATGACCAAGAAAGACCTAGCTTCAGAAACATTGTCCACTGCGTCTCACTGACGGGTGAGGGAGGGGAGGGAGTTAAGCTGATCAACGGTCAACAGCGCCTAATGACCCAGAGACATGCTGTGTTGTGGACTATGACATTTCTTCTTCTTCTTCAGCTGCTGCTGCTTCTTGGTCTACCTCGTAGTCTATGACCATACAGCTCGCTTGTGAACACAGTGTTTACCTCTCTCTCTCATCTGACATTCTCTCAATATGCCTCAGCGTTTTCAGTTCTAGCTCTCATGATGCCAGTGATCTATGACATGTATATAAATGTGTGTGTGTGTGTGTGTGTGTGTGTATGTTGATTAGCCAACCCCCATCCCTCACCCCCGCCCCCTTTCCCAAGTGTGTTTCCCCTTTTCCCCCAGACAGTGTATTATTATAAGTAGACTATGGTGAGCCATATTTATTTTAAAAAAGGATCTGGAAACAATTCAGTAAACGTGTAACCTCTTCTTCGTGTTCACCGGCTGTAAACTCCGGCGAAAGGTTCTGGTTATTTGTCCCCTTTTAAACTCTTCCAGAAACTGAGGGCTAAGTGCACGTCCGTTTCACAGATCTTACTCATTTGCATGCAAACTATTGGTTCCTTATCTCTCGCGCAGATGTGCTCTGACTTGGAAGGAAGCTCACAATTAGTTGGCTCTTACGACATGCTTTTGGGTAAGCAATGAGTCTATTCTTGTGCTCCCCACAATGGAGCCCGGAAAACCCACACGCGGAGGAAACAACCGATGACACAAAGCACCACCATTCCGATCACCGGGGCACAAGTCCCAGAAACCCCTTTTAGTCGTTAGGTTATATTTAGGGCCCCCGACTACAACCGGGGTAGGGCTTTAAAATATCCACACACATACACACACACACACACACACACAAACTTCGTCCCGTATTGGGGCAAAGCTTGCTGCGCTGGCTGCTGAGGAAGGGGGCGAAGCGTGTATGGGAATGCCCCAAGTGTTGTGATGTCTATCTGTCTTCTTTTACCCCACCAGGACATCACACAAGCGATAAACACTCGATGAAACAAAGTGCCACCATGTGGATGAGGACCACCCGTGGAGAGGTCCCGGAAACAACGTTCAGCCATTAGACCATATTTATGGCTGGTCTATATTGCGGCCCCTGGCAAGAGCCAGAGTGGGGCTTCAAATAACGAAAAATTGCATCTAACGAGGAGATGACTAGATATAGTGGTTGTTGATAACAAATAAGCTGTGATGTTATTTCTTGACTCAGCTCAACTCAGAACAACTTGCTATATTGTCAGTTTTTAAATTCAACTGGACGAAAATGTTTAAAGCAGTGGAACGAAGTATGGACATCGATACAAGTGGGTTATACGAAAATATGCACCAATGGTAGTTTGTCAGAGTGTACAAATACGCGCACGAATGAGTGAGAGAGAGAGAGAGAGAGAGAGAGAGAGAGAGAGAGAGAGAGAGAGAGAGAGAGAGAGAGAGAGAGAGAGAGAGAGAGAGAGATTTCGTCTTATTTGAGACAAGAAAACGTCATTATGGTGATAGCCCCTAATTGTTCGATAGTCTTTGGGTCCTTTCTTTCAGGTACTATTACAAGACATTTTATTCTCTCGGCAAACGGCCACCTCCTCCACCTCTCCCAGAAAGAGAACCCGACCAAGCAATGGTTAGTTGTGACGAGTACAACAGTGGCAGTTGTCGTTGGTATGATGAATGGTCATACGATTCTCTGCTGGACTATGAAAAGAACAAGCGGACACTAGTATGACATCGCTACTGGCATTATCATTAACACCACCCTCATCAAAATCATCATCATCATTGTGCCGTTTGAAGTCACCGAGGACTGGTAGTCTGTTTATACATTCCATTTATCATGTGAAAGTTTTCGACGACATGGGCGGATCATCATGTATCATGCTAGAAATAAATCTGCTTTCACTTGAAGCCATTGTTCTTCTTCTTCTTCTGTGTGTCTACCGGCTGTCAGCTCTAGCGGAAATTTATAGTTATTTGTCCACTACTGGGCTTCGAGCTTGTTCCGGACTTTGAATTTTACATGCATATCCATTTTACAGATTTTGGCTTATTTATTTGCAGATTTGTTGGTTTTTCGTTTCTCAAGCAGATGTTGAAAGTTGAATTAGGAATCAATATCACAGCACTCGAGATTTTGCCATAAGTGCTCCGTCCCCATCTTCAGCAGTTAGCGAAAAGTTCCATTCCCGATGGAACAAATAGCCGTCTGATTGTATATCCGTCTCATCCTTTCCCTGAGTGTTGAGCGTCGGCCACATCCCCTGGTAACTTCTCGCAGCACCATTCTCCTCAGACCGTAAAGATCTATCTGCGTATCGGCACTGTTCACTCGTTCCCAGATGGCCCTCACAATATCTAGCTTTTCATACATTAATTCACCACCAAGTGGTGCAGAGCCATCCAGTCTATCAAGCTGATGCACTACTACTTGGAAGGAAACATCCCTAATTAGTTGGACTTTTACGACATGCTTTACGTGGCCGCGTTAGCGCAGTCGATAAGAAGCTCACTTTCAAATCCATCTGCGACTGGCTGCAGCCCGCGGTCGGTGTTCGAAACCGGGCGGCTCCCGGGGTTTACCCAGCCTCTAGGAAATGGCTACCAGAGTTGACACTCTGGGGTAAATGGAGGAACGTCGCTGTAGTTACAGAGTTACGTGCGAACGGCGACACAGGCGGACAATTCTTATCGACTGTCCGTACTGGTGGCAGTGCACTTATGGTTTATAACCGTGTGCAATGACTCTGGTTCACATCTCCCGACTTTACCTATTTTTTTAGGACATGCTTGTTAGGGGACAGTGATTCTATTTCTGACAGAGGTAGAGAGACATGATCAGACAGTCAACAGCAGCAGTTAGTGGCCTAACCTACGCAGTGTTACGGGACAGCAACGACAATAATAAACTAGGTTGCAGAATGTTTAAAATTCCTTGGACAGCCAAAGTGAGTGATGTAGATTCTTTGAAATTGACTATAACCATGACAACTTATCACAAACATCAGGAAATAAAAGTAGTCATAATGTGGTGGCCATATTCAAGAAGATTAAAAAAAAAAAAAAAGGGTCCACGTAACAACTAGTAAGATTTCTGGAAAGAGATAGTGATTTTTATGAGACCTCCGTGGTGTAGTGGCTAAACAATTGCCTGTAAGTTCGAAGGTCAGTTGATCATATATGAACCAAGCCTTAAAAAAAAAAAAAACGACCTTAACTCCCAGATTGATTAGTCTTGAATGGATACCATTCAAAGCTGTGGGAAGTAAAGGCAGCTGGCATGATGTTGACCACATCATGCACCATGTACCAACTGGACTATCAATCACTGGTCTAAAATTAGGAATTATCTGAAACTTGGAGCACAACTAAAGGAGATGAAGCTTTATTACAGGTTTTCAAAGCAGTCTTATGATGAATCTTTGAGCCCATCAAAGATACAAACAGAGGGAGGGAGAGTGAGAAGCAACAATGAAATTCATAATCTGTTTATATCACCAGTGATAACTGGCATCATGAGAGCTTATAGACTGAAATGGGTGGGGCATATTGAGAGAATGTCTGATGACAGAGAAGTGAAAACTGTATACACAAGGGAGATGAATATTTGTATACCACGAGGCGGAGCAAGAAGACGGATAGATATGTCCAGACTGACCTGCACACACTTGGTGTCAACAACTGGGAAGAGAAGGCTAACCAGAGAGATGAATGGAGGCGGGTGATATCTGCAGCAATGAACCTCAAGGGCTCAGAATGCTTAAGAAGAAGAAGCCTATGTGCCAAATTTGCTTATACATGGAAAAGGGTACTTTATTTACTCTATGATTTTATATCCGCTTCCTTTCAAGATGTGCCCAGTAAATCAATATATCACCATATTCTGTTGAAACCACCTGTTGTCCAAATATTTTTCCTATTTCTTTGCCTTTCTTGAATTCATCCCATTTAATATTTCTTTATTTCCTCGAGCATTATTGTTTCCCAATGGATTTACTTTTGTTCCATGTTTTTGACAATTCAACAATCATTGGCATATGTTAAAACTGAAAATTTTTGATTTCAAAGCTATGTGATTTAGAGTTTCAAAATTTTGTTCAATCTTCTAAGAGCTTATGTTGCCTTGCCAATATGTGTATCCTAATTACTTGATTCCAGTGGTTCCAAACTGATGCTCCGTGCAGCCCTAAGTGATCCGTATGCACTTCTCATTGGCTACATGGCCACCCTAGGAAAATAAATAAAAACTCAATGAAATTAAAGATTAAGGGACCTAAACAATAAAACTAGAATTAATTTCTAAACATAAATTGTAGTTTTTAAAATATAATTTCATTGCATGGAGAATGTGCCGTTGTTTAGGCATGGCTTTATTTTAGATTCCCTTACTACCTTACCATCTAGGCGAGATGGACATACAATCAGAGAGTTACTGGTGCTATCTGAACTGGAACTGTTTGCTTGCTGCTGAAGATGGGGATGAAGTGCTTATGTGAGTGTCCTGAGTGCTGTGGTGTCGATTCTTAATTCAACAATCAACTATTTACACCCTCTTGCCCATCTCTGTAACATTACCTCTGAACATCAATGTGTAGAATATAAGTTCCAGTAGACTTAAGGAACACAGCCATAAATACAGAGAGTTAAAACAGTTGAAAAATACTGCTTTAATCTATTAAATACAACAAAGAATAGTCAACAAAAGTAATGAATAGTATGTATTTATTTAAAACTAGCTTTGAAACAATCAACAGTAACAATTCATTAACAAAGAAAACAAATGTACCAATGGAAAGGATCAACAGGTGTTTCTGTCGCATGTTACATGAGTCCAGTCAGCTTTGTCTGGTCAGTGACAGAAAAAAGTGGAATGTCCCCAGCAAACTTACATACTCTGGTATCGTTTACTCTACTTCAGTAAATTTATACAATCCAGTATTTGTTTGCTTTAATTTCAGCGAACCTACATACTCTTTATCTTTAGTATCTGCTAGTTTTATTTACTTCAGCAAACCTAGCATAATCTAGCATCTGCTCGCTTACTTAAGTAAACATATATACTCCAGCAAACCCGTATACTCCAGTACCTGCTTGCTCTCCACCGCAAACTTACACACTCCAGTATCTGCTGGCATTTCATAAGCAAACCTAGATACTTCAGTATCTGCTTGCATTTCATAAGCAAACCTATATACTCCAGTATCTGCTTGCATTTCATAAGCAAACCTAGATACTCCAGTATCTGCTTGCATTTCATAAGCAAACCTATATACTCCAGCACCTGCTTGCTTTATACCAGCAAACCCATATACTCCAGTATGTGCTTGCTTTGTTTCAGCAAACCTATATACTCCAGCACCTGCTGGCTTTATACCAGCAAACCTATATACTCCAGTATGTGCTTGGTTTGTTTCAGCAAACCTATATAATCCAGCACCTGCTGGCTTTATACCAGCAAACCTATATACTCCAGGATGTGCTTGCTTTGTTTCAGCAAACCTATACACTTCAGCACTTGCTTGCTTTACACCAGCAAACCTATATACTCCAGTAAGTGCTTGCTTTACACAAGCAACCCTAAATACTCCAGTATCTGCTTGCTTTACTTCAGCAAACCGAAATACCCCAGTATTTGCTTGTTTTGCTTCAGCAAACCTACATACTCAAGTATTTGCTAGCTTTATTTCTCCTAAAACATAATTTTAAATTCTGTCAAACACATACACAAATTGAATACATAACATAACTGAAAGATTTAACAACTACCAACAAAAACAAACAAAATTGCTATAAATTTCAGTATGCAATAATAATACTAATATAATTTGTTATGGTGTGCCATTTCCAAAATGGGGGTTGGCTGCAGTGAATAGATCCACTGATCTCTTTGGGGAAAATTATGCAGTAAGGCCTTGATCTTTTCCACAGTGTGACTTTTGTACCACTATGTGTAAGCCACAATAGCTTTCTTTTTTTGTTTTTGTTTTTTTAACTATCTGCTTCAGAATATGAAATCCTGGTACACCAAACGATTGTGAAATTTGTTCACTAAAATATAAGTCACACAGCCGAAGCATACTCATATTCTAAGTAACTATGTACAATTGGCATGCTGAAAACCTTATACAACCAACTGGTAGGAAAGATAAAAACAATGTCATATCTCTGTGCAACATTGCCATGTGAATGCTACAATAATGCATTCCATGGCAGGAGTTTAGATACAGGCAAGTAACTGAAGGTCTTGAGTTTTCAAAACAGCACTAAGTTGGATTTGTTTTCTCTCCACAACTGACTGACCTGGTCTCCACCAAGTCAAGATAACCTTCAATGGGTACCAGGTCATGTTCTGAGAAGTAAAGGCAGCTGGCATGATGCTGACATCATCATCCACAGTATGGCAACTGGTCTATAACAAAGTGAGTCTAGCTAGCATCATATAGCCAATCCACCAGTGGTGTCAAAAGGGTCTTTAACTCCCACTATATTCTGTGCATCCAGGCTGGGCAAACAAATCCCAGCTCTTCTTGTGTATTATATATCACGTCCCTACTTGGCTGGGACTTTAGGTTACTTACTAATTGACAGCAGCTCTAATAAACCTTGCGGCTGAATGGGGCTTTCCAGGATTTGTACGCAGAGGATTCTCACCCTTAGAGGTATTAATCCTGCAGATTGAAATACTGGAAGGGTCAAACTGCAGCAGCCGTGTATTATCAGAAGAATAAAGCA